AATAGCATTGACTTTGCACAAATTGAAGACATATTACGACTATCAACGCCCAACGATTGGCTACTTTGACTAGTCATACTAACTTCGTCCGTTTGTGTCGGGGGGGGGGGGGGGGGGGGGGTTTCTTTGAATATAAGTACGACGGAGAGGCCTTCACCCATCCTTGCCACGCCCCTAACCCACCCCTTACTCCCACGGCGGAAGTCCAGGCGCGATCATGTCCAGCGGACAAGGTGAAGCCAACATCACCAATCTGGGGTGCGATGTGGCCAACCTGGCCGCTCGATTCGGCTCACAGAGCGCGGAAAATAACGGCTCCTCATATGTAAAAGACCGTGACAACCTGATTCGCACCTTGAAGGCAATGCTCGTCTCAGTTTCGGGGCCATCTGCCACTTTACTTGAGATGATATTCGTGGCTCGAGTTCGGCTAGCCATCGTCCGTGCCTTTGTGCAGCTCGATCTAGCCGCCAAAGTGCCATACGATACCCCAATATCGATCACCGAGATTGCCGCTTCCCTCGAAGTGGACCGCTCGCTCATGGAGCGTCTACTCAGATTCAGTGTCTGTGAGGGTCTCTTTCAGGAAGTGCCTCCTGGGTCAGACAATATCTCTCACAATGAGCTTTCTCGGTCTTTGAGGCACCTGGCGCCTCTCCTCAATCTCGTGTTGTCTCCGTTTAACACCCTCCCGGATCTGAAATTGGTGGAAGCCCTGAAGTCCTCCTTATGCGGAGAGGGCGCGAGGACTCCCGCGGAAGTGGCGTTCGGACAGAATCCATGGGAAGTTATCGCACATCAGCCCGAGCTCGCCAGCCAGGCCGACCTTCAGAGTGCTATGTCCAGCCTTTCGAGGGCTTTCAAAGAGGGTCGAGAGGACGAGACACTGGCTCTCTATCCCTTCGGAGAGCTACGAAATCTCGTGCTCATAGACCTCGCAGGCGGTGGAGGTCAGTTCGCGATCGACCTTGCCCGTCGCAATCCCCACATCCACGTCATGGTGCAAGATTTAGCGTCAAATCAAATCCGAGCCGAGAACCAGATCCCGGACGAGCTGTTACAGCGGGTAGTCTTTCGTGTTCAGGATATCTTTGCTCCACAGCCCGACGACATAAATGGACCCGTGGTGTATTTTATGCGATGGGTCCTCCACGACTGGCCGGACCACCAGAGTCAACAGATCTTACAGCAGCTGCTCCCGGGGCTCAGGCGCGAGGGAAGTCGTCTATTAGTGGCCGAATATGTACTCCCTGACCCTCGGCGACGTGACTCCGAGGGCGCCATCACGCTCCAAGCCGAGTCTCTCATTCGAGCCATGGACCTCACCATGTATTCTCTGTTCAATTCTAAGGAGCGGTCAATCGCCGATTTCGAGCTTTTACTTCACCGAGTAGACCAGGGGCTCGACATAAAGCAGGTTTGGAGTGTTGATGGGTCGTGTATGAAGATCTTGGAGGTCGTTCTGCGAGCGCCATAGCCGCGGGAGCAACGTGTGAACTTGATCTCCTCAGTGTTGACACGAAAGATTTGTTCTATTCCATCAGTTGCTTCCAGGAGCCTGCCTAGTCGCTCCCCTCCGTCAGCAGCGCCTCCCCCAAACCCTTTCTTCTGGTTCAATACTTAATGGTTTATTACTGTAATAACTCTAACCCATAAACCTTTTTACAACCTATATTCCTTTTTACAACCTATAGTTAACTATACCTTTTTACAATACTATACGCTGACACATCCTTTGAGAAAGCTCACTTTAAAACTTTTTGATCTTTTCTTTTGGACATTCTTAGATGAACTGAACCTCCTTAGAGTGATTAGAGCAGCCAAGAGTACAGTCTCTTATAGTTTTCAATATCTCCCTGATAGACGAGTGCGTTATTATTGAGCAGTTATATTTGTTTCCGTAACCAGCTTCGTGCCTTCTTGTACAGGCTCCGTAATTTGTTGAAGGTAAGGTCTCTAATGGGACATCCGTACTAGTATTTTACCATCCGTCCTCGAGTGTAGTCCAAGAGCTTGACCAGTTTCTGATCGTTCCCGTCATTTTTGTCGAAACTGTCTTTAGCGTTGATAAAATCTTCCATCCATTCTTCTTTCAGAGCCTCCTTTCGAACTTTGATAAGGTCGCAGACCTCTCGGTATATCGGCGTGATGAACGAGAGTCGCGCCATCTTTGTCTAGAAGCTCGCCGCTTTCGACGTTGGGTAAAGTTGTGGAAAAAAAATGTCATATTACTTTTTGGAGCTGTCCTAATGAGCAGTGATCATCTCGTGCACCTTCATGCCACTTCTGCCGTTTGTCGAGGACCCTGCCGAGCCGGGTTGATTGGGGGGCGGAGTCCTCCCGTCATCGTAGGCTGGCGCCTGACGGGGAGAGTTGTAGCTTTGCGCCGATTGTGGTGTGAGACCGGACGGTGACACGTTGCCCTTCTGAAACTGGTTGCCGTTGGGACAGCGAGCCTGCTGTTGAGGAAAGGACTGATAGCTCATGGTCGA